ACTATAACATATACTATTACCATTACCATTACTATTACTACTACTATTATTATTATAGCAACAAAAAGAACGAAAATAGACCAAGATAACCAACAACAAATTATCTCCAAAACAATGAAATGCTTAGGAGCAATTAGATTTTCTTTTTCATCTCCATTAAATATTTGACAAATCGCTTGTTTTTTTTTTTTTTTTTTTCCTTCAAAAACCCTCACTCCATTTTCTTATTTCTTTCTTCCTCTCTATTTCTTCAGACAATAAAAAAACTTTCCTCTTCCCAGTATCGTTCATCATCAAAAAGAATTTTTTCAAAATATCGATTATTTTGTGCATCCAAACCAATCTCTCCCCCGCCACCCTCTATTAAAAACGCTTCCAAGTAACCAAAGGTAATGATTTTTTACAATTACCTACTGATAAATTATTTGATCCAACGACACCAGTAAAACGATAAAAAAAAGCTGACAACTGATTATAATCTTCATTTTTATTTTCTTTTCGTTACAGGATACTCTTCTTTCTGCAGACACGTCCGAAAAAAATGCTTCCGGAAGAAAAAAGTATGAAACCTGATTAATAAAGGAAAGATAAAAAAACTTTTGACAGTTCGAAGTTTCTTCTCACTGTTAGTCAAAACTTACCATTCACAAAAATCAATATATTATTTTTCCGTAAGACATTAGGGAGAAATGTACAGAGAAAATCTTGATAGGTAATTTCTAGAAAATATAGTAGAGATATGCAATGGAAAAGTTTTTGCAGAATTTCTAAGTGTAAAACTTAATGCGGTGGACAGTAAAAGCAGCTGAAATTCACGTTTGTTCCCCTATCACTTGCAGCATTCATTGAAACTCAGCACCGTTCAGGGTTGCTCATCAATTTTGAGCAGTTCCAAAACAAACTACATTAACAAAACAAAAAAAACCAATCAATGGAAATCAAATGTACTGATCTGTGCTCGAAAGTTATTCAACAGGAAATTTTAATCCAGAAAAGTCAAATTAACTGCTGGCAAGTTGAACAATTTCATTGTTATATTTTGACGAAAATAAAAGAAAAAAAAAGTAAAGGAAC